CTGGCGGCTTCCCCGGTGCCCCCGGCGGCGCTCCCCCCGGCAACCACGACGACGGCCCTACCGTCGAGGAGGTTGACTAAATTGATACCCTTGATGAATTCTTTCCTTAGAGTCCGAGTCATGGGTGTGGCACCGCATCGGCTGCCACTGGGTTTCACGACTAGACTTTTGCTTTCTTTGCATTTATGAAATCACGATGGGAAAAGCACGGTTATGGGTCAGAGATGTATTCTAGCTAGACTCCGCGGTTTAGGAAGTCTAATACAAAACAGTAAAATTATTTGTTCATTCATTCATGCTTGTGATGTGCTCTTATACTCGAATACTTCCCCATAATTGTACGACTCGATTATGAATGGAAATTGTAGTGGTTGTAGTAAAAGGGCTTCACTTTGCCCGGCCGCAAAAATGTGAGAAGAGATGGATCCTTATTGTACAATTGTATCATGCTGCTGGTTCGATGCCGAGCCCCTGCCTAATCTGCTTCCGCCTCTCAATCTCCATCCTCTGCCACTCCTCGTCATTAATTGTGGGTTCCTCCAAACTCTCCGTAAATGCCATGCCCGGTGGGACCTTGGTGGTCCTTGCCTGCCAGACGTCCTCACTACTTGGCTTGCCATTTCCATACTTTTCAAACTCCTTCTGACGATAATGGTCTCTTATGGCATCCTCCTTCATCTTCCCCGAGTAACTCTTGATCCTCATGCAGAACCAAAAGTCCTCCCAGTGTTCGCTGCAAGAGCGCATCGTGCCGTATCGGTAAATGCTGTTCCACTGGCCGCCGACAGACTGGCAGTGAAAGGCCATGTCAAACGCCTGGCGGCAAGACATCTCTGTCGGAAGGGTGGACTCAGCCACGGGATTGTCGGAGGGTGGCGTGATGGCACGGTTGCTGGTTTGAGAGGGGGAATCGGGTGAAGATTTGAGGGAGAACCATGATGAAGACGATGATGACTTGGACGGTGGGGAGGATGTTTGTGCTGGCGCTGACGCCTTTTCTTCTGGCTGACTGCCCGATTCGGTCTGGAAAAGGGCGAGGAACTTTGCAATCTCGGGATCGATCTCGGAGTCAGTCGTCTTAGTCGAGGATGGCGGGGTCGGCGCGGGAGCCTGTGAGGCTTGTCCCGGGGCGGGAGTCTTGGGGGGAGATGGTGAAGCCCAGAGCCAGCCCATTTCGAAAAATTGTTGATTTAAAACAGAAGAGAGCGTAAAGAATCGGGCAAAGTCCCAAGGTGATATCGTCTTGGGCAGGTCGGACGCAATCGAGAATGAGGGGAAGTCGGCAACCGTTACCATCAATGACCTCCAAGACGCCGCGTCTAGCCAATGAGTGGTTGCATGATTTTTGCCATAGCTGCGCGTGCTCTGGTGGGGCGTCGTCGGTTCGGATAAGATATCGTCCGTTTCGAAACTTAAGATTATGGGGCGCGTTGGACCGCGCGGGCCTTCAAGTGGGGCCGCAAAGTGTGACATCATCCCACGCGAACACTGGGGCTGACTTTCTCGTGAAGGAGCTAAGCAGCTCTGGTAAGGTGATGTGAGGCAGGCAAGCTAGTCGGCTGCCTTGATTCTCTTCCATTGCCTTCCATCCAGCTGTTCTCAACGTCCCGTCCTCAAACTCAATTCCACCACTCGCTGTCAAAGCAACATGTGAGTCTGCATCGACATCCATCCAATGTTACCTACCAGAGCGCTGCTTCGCTCCGGCATGAGGCCTGCGCCTCGGCTGCAGATGACATGGGGCCGGCCCCGGCCAATTGCTCAATCCCAGCGACATGGAGCTATCGTGTGCGCCGCGTCCAAAGCATGGGAGAGTACCGTAACCGGCGACGAGAAATCCGGGCATATCGCCACTTCGGAGAGCGAATCCATTCTCTTCTTTGACAGTAAGATTTCTGGTCACCCCTTCTCTCAGCCGAGTCATTCCTTCATCTGACCCAGGACCTCGCGCCTCGGGTCTAGTCCCTACCCTCTCCCAATTTTGGCGTCCTCCGAGCATCAAGTGTCGTATCGATGCCCTCCACTGTCTCCGTTTCTCTCCTTGACCACATCCCCTGCTCTCTTCCCACTCACGGTCTTGTCCTCTTCACCCCCACCTTTGTGCCTCTTGTTCAATGTCCATTTCGGCCAGCGCTGGCGCGAGGAAACAATATTGACAATAGCTGGCAGACCTCTTTCCTCTCAAGCTCACCTACCTCCTCCGACGGTCATGGCAGTCAGACCGTGACCTGACCGACCTTCTCAAGCGCTTCGATAGCTCTGGCGGAGGCCTTGGCACCGATCCAATCAACCTAGTAAAACGAGCGATCCCCGACGATCTCCCAATCAAAGTCACAGAGATCCTACCGCGACTCAAGGACGGAGGAGCTTTTGTAAAATTCAGCCATGGCTCCGACGTTGTACCAAAAGATATTGAGAGTGAGTTTGACCTTCGATCTAGTCCGCAATGACGTCTTCGTCGCAGTTTAAACTAAGTCTCCTCAACTCGTGTCAATGCCTGACTAACACGCATAAGCATCTCTCGCTCGTTCGCTGGAGAAACATCCCCTCAGACCATGGTTCAACCCCTTTCGTGGGGTTCAGGCAGGATTGGTCAAGGGAGTTCCTTGGCTAGAGGATCTCTACCGGTTTCCCAAAAGTCGTGTCAAGGTCGAATTCACAGGAAAAGATGCAGGCGGCGAGGCCGTCGAACTCTCACAGGAGACCCTCTACAGTCTGTTTCGCAGATACGGTAAAATTGCCGAGATAACTTCACAGCCTTCCGACTCGAAGGTTCTCCCAAAGTATGCGTACATCGACTTTGCGCGCGTCCGCGACGCCATCATGGCGAGAAATTGTCTTCATGGATTCCTGGTTGACGAAGGTCTTGGTGGCGGAAAGATTGGCACAAGGCTTCGCCTATCCTATGAGCAAAAGGTCAAACCGCACAACATCTGGAACTGGCTCACTAGCCATCCTAGGGTGGTAATTCCCGTCGTTGCCGCCCTCCTTGCTGCCATCACAGTGGCCATCTTCGACCCCATACGCGAATTCTTCGTCAAGGCCCACATCCAACATTCTTTCCGACTGAGCAACAACAAATTCTACCGATGGATCAAGAGCCAGACTTCCGACATTTTCTCCTCATTTGGGCACAAGAAGGCTGACAAGGCCGGGTTCAGTGCAGTTTGGCAGCATCGCCGAGACCTTATCGAGCAGATCCAGACTTGGCTCCTTGAGAGCTCCGACACTTTCATCGTTGTTCAGGGCCCTCGGGGTTCAGGCAAAAAGGAGCTCGTCTTGGACCAGTCACTCAAGGGTAGAAAAAATGTTTTGGTGATCGACTGCAAGCCGATCATCGAGGCAAGGGGCGAAAGTGGAACCATCAAACACCTAGCTGCCGCCGTGGGCTATAAGCCGATCTTCGCTTTCTTGAACAGCATGAGCAGCATGATCGATTTGGCAGTTCAGAGCACGACTGGGGTCAAGGCTGGCTTTTCCGAGACACTGGAGTCGCAGGTGGTCAAAATCCTTCACACAACCGCAGAGGCCCTAAAGGAAGTCTCCCTCGCCGGACGCGACAAGGATGGCAAGGATGGCGACCTTTCAGACGACGCATACTTGGAGGCCCGTCCAGACAAGCGGGCTGTTGTGGTCATTGATAACTTTTTGCACAAGAACGAAGGCTCAAGCCTGGTCTACGACAAGGTTGCGGAATGGGCTGCGGCAATGGTTCAGAATAATGTTGCCCACGTCATCTTCTTGACAGACGACACCTCTTACTCAAAATCGCTATCGAAGGCGATGCCGGATCGCGTCTTCCGCCAAGCTGCTTTGGGTGATCTCTCCCTTGATGTTGCCAAGAAATTCATCATCAGCCGTCTCGAAGAGGACGAAATTGAAAAGGTCCGAGAACAGTCCAAGGAGGCAGAGGAGAAGGAGGATAAGCCTGAGCAACACCGAAAACCCGATCTCTCGGAGCTGGACTCGGCAATTGGAATCCTCGGTGGCCGTCTCACAGATCTCGAATACCTTGCTAGACGACTAAAGGGTGGCCAAAGCCCCCAGCGCGCCATTGAAGATATCATCAACCAGAGCGCCACTGAAATCGTCAAGATGTACCTTTTGGGTGGCAAGGATACTGTCGAGGGCAAGAAATGGTCCACCGAGCAGGCGTGGTACTTGATCAAGGCGCTTGCTTCTCACGATGCTCTTCGATACAACGAGGTTCTCCTGTCCGATACTTTCGCCTCTTCCACCACCCCTGGCGCTGCGAATGGGGAGTCAGCCTTGGAAGGGCTTACAAATGCAGAGCTCGTTACGGTAGAGACCTACAACGGCCGGCCGCAAACGATCCGCCCAGGAAAGCCAATGTACCAAGCAGCATTCAGTCTTCTGCTTGACGACCGTGTTCTCAGGGCCAAAATGGACTTGGCCCTTCTGAAAGAGCTTACGAAGGTTGAGGCGAAAGTCATCGAAAAGGCTGAGGGAGAGCTGGCGCTGTTGGGCAGCCTGCCAAAACAGCCTGCTCAAACCGGGTCTCGGGTGGCGTACCTGCTCGAAAAGCTCGAGGGCAGCCAAGTCAAGATCACAAAGTATGAGAAGGAGATTGCAGCTCTCAAAACGGTTCTCAAGCACAACTACTAAGGCTTCATTGTTCGGGGGCCTACGCTCTGTATCAAACCCAGGCAGAGAACGACCGACAATGATATACGGTGGTCGATACCCTTCTCAATATTCCAGTAATACTAGAGCCCTCGGCCTCGCCCAGAAATGCGCCTGTACAATATACCAGTCCTTGCTCTGTTGTTAATTGTATCTGGCGCGGCTCTTTGAGGTACTCAAGTCCAAGCTTGGAATCCGTGATGTACCCAGATGAGCGATCTTCCCTTATATAGGTTAAAATGTCTGGTCAAAAAGAGGGTTACTAATTTCTCATCCACAAAATTGCTTCTTAAGGAAATACCGACTGCTTTGAAAATTTTCCGAAATTACATTCACTTGGGTGCTCGGATGCTGTTTCACACTTGTAATCCGTTCCTGAGTATCTTAAGGTAAGTAAGAAAGGGATCCATGATGTGAACAATGAATGGAAAGCAGGTGTGCTGTAACTTTGAATGGGTCCTGTCATTATGGACCCTGGAGTCCTGTAACTTGCGGCCAATGAGACGCTTGGCATCGAAGACCACAGTGTTATGGGGGTTCATGGCGACCTGGTTCTTGGCGGCACTTACGATAAGAAAGCTGCTCATGATCCTCAGTGTCGGTGAAACCAACTGCGAAAAAAGTTAGCAAAATGTCAGCAATTCGACAGCAATTCAGATTCGGTACGTACCGAAACTCGGAGCTGGAACACCTTAAAAATTTTAATTTTCGTGGCCTCCGGCCATGAATGATTGCAGCATATCACTGCAGGAGAATAACCCCAGCATTGCTAGGTAGGCTCAGATATGAAGGTGGATTTCCTAAAAGATCAATGACCCAGTGGTAGGTCTTCCAGCAGCACAGATGGAGCAAAGGCACTGTAGACACTGCAAGGGCGTCCCCAGAGCAGAAAACAGGACACGCACTCGCGAATCAGCTTGTAATACAATTGCAACATCTGGTTTTTCGAAGGCAGTCAGACTGAACAATATCTTAGACTCCGCATCATCTTCGCCTGCTGGAGGAACCGCCGCGGGGATGAAGGTGGGCAAACGCCTCCACAGCCTTTTAGAGAAACGCATAGAAATACCTACACATGCCCCGCGGGGTTCGTTAGGGGTCCCTCGAAAATGACCATTGTACTGGTTGACAGTGTCAGGACAACACGACTCAGACCTCACCTATCGACCGGGAACTTGGCCGAAGGACATAAAGGTGCAAAGTCGTCCTTGGAACAAACCCCGGTCACAAGGTCATGTGCTTGCGGTGCTATCAGTCAGCCAAGAACCCAACCCAATCAATCGAGGGTAATGCTTCTCTGGAGAGCTGCATCCTCCAGCAAGGGTGCAGAGGAAAGCGATCATCGGCCATATAGCCCAATGCGACAGCCGAAGCTTTTGCGGACGACGATACAAGCATTTTAGAGGGCTGGGCACTTTCTCGGCAATTCTGGGCATTGCGGGCGGCTCTCTAGCACGATTTCTTGGCTACGACTCTAGCCGACGACACCTCATCAATTCGCGATTCGTGATTTAACAAGACGATTCAACTAAGACGGGATTTCTCCTGTCAAAAAATGCGCCACAAATCCACCAAATAATCACGCGGCCTTTTCGCCGTCTTTTGTCGGTACTATGAAACTCCAGGGACGGATTTACACGAGCTGTTGCCGACTTGGCCCCACCAAATCCTCTGTGCCTTCGTACTATGGCACCATGTCTACAGTCTAAGTACCCAAACGCCATTCGGTTGGTTTCCAAGTGGAGATGTCGTTGACTGGTCTGCCAAAAAGACCAATGGCAAGCATACCGCCTCCAGACGGTGACGTCTTCATGCTGGCGTCGAAATGAGGAGTCGATTTATCCTGGTCGAGCGCGCTCTCTTTTGTGTCCTCTTCCCTTTCAACCATCTTTGGGTATGGAGAACGCATTTTCCGTGCCCCAAACCCCGCAAACCCGGAGTCAAGAAAGCGTACCCGGTTTATTTTCTGTCACCTCTAGATTCTCGGAGCGTAAGCAGAAAGATGCAATGGCGACCTCACCTCACGGTTGCAGAAGCCACACGGACTTTGATCTCGACTAGGGCGTCAATCTCACCGTTCTTGGCATTCTCGACGAGATCTCTTGTCCGGTCTTGGCTTTTCCCAAATTCCCCGAGATAAGTGGCGGCATCTCCAAGCCTCCAACAACAGAATCCACAAACGATCCCGCCTCGAAGCGTTCCCCCCCGGTCGATAGCCTACCCCGGAAATGGCGCTACTCTCCAAGCATAGTGGGATCGGCAATTGGATAGCATCTCATCTGACAACGCCATTCCCGTCTTGCGCCGCACAGTAGCCCGCTCGCTCATTTACCTCGCATGTTTACGACAAGGGCAATTAAGACGGTCAACCTTCTCGGATGTGCTTGAGTCTTGCACTCAAATGTACTTCTGACGGTATCCGTACGACAGGGTCCCACGTTTTAATTACGTCTTGTCTCGAATGGCCAGGGTTCCTGTCCTTATCTCTTGCTACACGGACGTTCCCACACAACGTGTGTTGCGTGTGCCAGGACTCAACCGCCGGGACGTGCTTTTCCTGGGGAGGAAGTGAGAAGCAAGATCAGTCTGGGGAAAGCCATGGGTTTTTGACTGAAGGATACGGCTAGAGAGCAACGGACCCTCAGAACCATGAATCCGTTCAGTCGAAGACGGGACCGTTAACGGCCAAGGCTGATCCGAAGAGCTTAGCTTTTGCTTTCGACTTTGCTGCCTGCGGCGTCTAGCAGCCGGTATCATATTGTGCCGATCTCTGCCCAATTCCCCCAAAACAGAGGCGCGCTACCAAGGCGCCGGGCTTTGGTCCGCAGAACTCACTTTGAATGACAGCCACTGCTGGTGGAGATCTCAAATGTCGCACAACCCAGATGCGCCCTTGCGGAGCATCGTTACATCTCTTTCGACCGGTAGCCCAATTAGACACGGGAATTTAGACGATGGGCCATGCAAGGCCGAACTCGCGAACCATGTAGTCTAGTATGCTCTCCGCTGCCTTGGTCAGACCAAGAGAGAGCCGCCACTGTCATGGTACCCGGCCGTGCCATTCACATACACCACGCGCGCGTGAGGGGAAATTATTTGCTCCATGGCCCATCTGAAGAATAGCTACCATCTCCCTGCCCCCCAAACCCCAGCGAATCCACTTTCAAAGGTTTGGACTTTCCCCATGGGTCGCCCCATTGTGGATCACCTCTGGATGCTCGTACGCTGTGGTCTAGTCCCATTGACACGAGAGAGGGAGGAACAAAGCCGGTCTACCTAGTTCGCGTTGACAGACGCCTTCGAGCTGCCGTTCTTGACTTGCGGGGGAAGGTGGTTGCGCCGATCTGGTCTCCGTGAACCTTGTGCAGAGGTTGGGATGAGAAGTTGTCTATGGGTGAGATACAAATACCAGGCAGCGCCCATCCCATGCTTTCCCGGTTTCCCCCTCTCCTCGTCCGAGCCCTGTCTTTGAGTTAGATGATCACTCTCGGATTTTAAGGCGCAATCTATCGTAGAGACTTGATTGTCATCTTGTGATAGACCAAGAGTATAGAGCTCGAAACACTCACACTTCAACCAAGAAGCCATCAAGCATTGAGTCGTCGATAGTACTCAACGCGCCGCAACAATGGCGGACGACAAACACCTAGACGGAGCCGCGGTGTAAGCATTACTCACTTACAATGAATCTTCAAACTTCAACTAACACACCCAGCTCGGGCGACTTTTCCAACATGGAGAAAGCCCGTCGCGGATCCCAAGCAACAGTAGACCTAAACGACAACGTCGACGCAAAGTCCGTCCTCCGCCTCCAGTTCCCTCAGTTGAACGTAAACTAACCACCCACCCAACAGAATCAGGAACCCCCTCCTCGGCATCACCCGCGCCGAGCTCCTCCGCGACGTCGAAGCCTTTGCCCACGACAAGGGCCTGCAAGAATACATACCCGTCTTGAAAAAGGGCGCCCTCGTCGCCCAGGACCCGACGGGCTACGAGGAGATTGACGGCCCCGAGGCCCTCGACGCCACCGAGATCCAGGTCCTCCGCGACGAGATCGAGCATAAGTGGCGCATCCCTAAGATCCTGTACCTCACCATCATCACCTGCTCCATCGGCGCCGCTGTCCAGGGATGGGATCAGACGGGTAGCAACGGCGCGAATCTGTCGTTTCCCACGGTGTTTGGGATTGGGGGTACTTCGCACCATGATACTCTCCTTGTACGTCTCACTCACTCACCCGCTAGCCATGTTCTTGGTATCATCACATGCTAACACTCTCAAAAGGTCGGCCTCGTCAACGCGGCGCCATACATCGGCAGCGCCCTCATCGGCTGCTGGCTCTCAGACCCGCTCAACAACTTCTTCGGCCGCCGCGGCGCAATCTTCTTCGCCGCCAACTTTTGCCTCTGGCCCGTCATCGGTAGCGCCTTCTCCCAGACCTGGCCGCAGCTGCTCGGCTGCCGTATCCTCCTCGGTATCGGCATGGGAGCGAAAGCCAGCACGGTGCCCATCTTCGCCGCCGAGAACTCGCCCGCGCCGATTCGCGGCGCTCTCGTCATGACATGGCGTGAGTAACACCCTCTCCCCCATTTTGATATAGATATCATGACGAGAGTCATATGTATAGTTCCTGCTGTATGCTGACCGCAACATCAACAGAACTCTGGACAGCCTTCGGGATCGCAGCCGGAACGGCAGCCAACCTCGCCGTCGCCAAGACCGGCGCCATCGCCTGGCGCCTCCAGCTCGGGTCCGCCTTCATCCCGGCCCTGCCGCTTGTGCTGCTCATCTACATCTGCCCAGAGTCCCCGCGCTGGTACATCAAGAAGAACCGCTTCCCCGATGCCATGAAGTCGCTGCTGCGGCTGCGCAACCACCCGATCCAGGCCGCGCGCGACATCTACTACATCCACACCCAGCTCCAGGTCGAGGCCGAGATTGTCGGGCGGTCCAACTACGCGAAGCGCTTTGTCGAGTTGTTCACCATTCCACGTATTAGACGGTGAGTGATGATGCCACAAATATAATGAGACGAAGAAAGAGTTTGTGTGAGATTTAATGAGTATCGAGACTGACTTTTGTAATCTGATGCAGTGCCACGCTGGCTTCCTTCACCGTCATGATTGCCCAGCAAATGTGTGGTAAGTCGTGACCCCGAACTTGAACACCTCTAGATCATTACTCACCAGTGGACAGGAATCAACATCATCGCCTTCTACTCGAGCACAATCTTCAAGGAGGCCGGCACATCAGAGTACAACGCCCTCCTCGCCTCCTTCGGCTTCGGCATGGTCAACTTCCTCTTCGCCTGGCCCGCCATCTGGACCATCGACACCTTTGGCCGCCGCTCCCTCCTCCTCTTCACCTTCCCCCAGATGGCGTGGACGCTGCTCGCCGCGGGTCTCTGCACGCTCATCCCGGGCACCGGAGGCGCTCACCTGGGCCTCGTGGCGTTGTTCGTCTACCTCTTTGCCGGTATGTCCCTTCTAATATCATCCACATGTAACATATCAAGAAGAGGGAAAAACACTAACAAAGTTACAGCATTCTACTCACCAGGCGAAGGCCCCGTCCCCTTCACCTACTCCGCCGAAGTCTTCCCCCTCTCCCACCGCGAGGTAGGAATGTCCTGGGCCGTAGCGACCTGCCTCTTCTGGGCCGCCGTCCTCTCCATCAGCTTCCCCATCATGCTCGCCGACCTCGGCGTCGTGGGCTCCTTCAGCTTCTACGCGGGCCTCAACGTCGTCGCCCTCGTCATGATCTTCTTCTGGCTCCCGGAAACCAAACAGCGCACCCTCGAGGAGCTGGACTACGTCTTCGCGGTCCCCACCCGCGTCTTCATGCGCTACCAGCTCACAAAGGCCCTGCCCTACTGGTTCAAGCGCTGGGTTCTCTTCCAGAGGGACGCCACGCTGGAGCCGCTGTACAAGTTTGACCTCACGCACGAGGATCACCACGGCAGCGAGACGTACGAGAAGACGCAGGTCGAGCAGCGGGATCAGAAGAGGAGTGGTTCGGCTACCGGCGTAGACGTCACTGCTTCGTAAACGGATGGGGGCGGCCGAGCCGAGGTACGAGATAGAACTTGTAGACGAAAGACCTAAACGCGGCGGGGAGTGGTTATGTTTGCACTGACTGGCGTGGGAATGCCGTTGGACCTGTGGAACGTTGAGAACTGGGGGGGCTTTGATACCAAATGAGGCTGAGCTAGACGGGAAGAGCATGGGAGTGTACGGCGTGTAATACACACGCGCGCCTACGTAATCAGCATCGCCGAGTTGACTTCGTTCACTCGGAGAATTGTTTTGTAGACGAGGGAGAGGCTCGAAGAGGGGGCGGCTCTGAATGGGTAAGCCCGCCCACAATCCGTAAGCGAAACACATCACGAAAGCACCGGAACACATCCCGATGATGCCACTTTGCGTGCGCCCCCTCCCTTCGTAGCTACGTAGCATAGCCTGTAGAGAATGACTGCCGATTGCGCAAAGAGCCCCTCCAATTTTCACGATTCATGACAGACAACATTCTTTACCACCACAAAAGACTTTTCAACCACCCTGCCACGTCTCCTGCCACCAGACCGGCCCGCTTGACACACAGAAAGGCTGGAGGGGCGTGGTTGAGAGACACGGAAAAAAAAGTCTCTCGACGAATCTGGCTCAGGGGCGGCAAGGCGGTAAGAACATACTCGCAGGTCTCAGTGATCTTCCTAGACGGCGCGAGAGACGGCGGCTTTTCTAAATGGGTCCTCGGATCTCCCTGGTAGCGGGGGCCGCGTTCGATTGACGTATGCACCCCGACAACCCCGAGTTCTTTTCCTGGGACGACGACACCAAGTGCGGAAGAACGCGTGGGAAGGCAAGTCTTTCTTTGGGAGACACAGAAGAGCGCGCTCTCGGCCCTTGGCACGAGGGCAACGGCAGCTAGGCGTGCTAAGCCAGCCAAGGGCTCATGAAGACTTTCCCGAATTGCCCGCCGCGAGCAGTGATCCAAATCGAGATTCTTCTCCCGCCGCTCTCGTGTTGAGCCTAGCGTCAAACCCAACAATGCAGACTGAGGCGATCGATTATGAAAGATTTTCGCAACACGGGCTGTAGATCCGATCCGACCTCCGACACGCAGATTCAAATTGTAGAGAAT